GGTCTTGTCAGGAGCCGATTACTTGGAGCCTCCATCTCCCATATAAGCCCTTAGAGTCAACCCTTTCCGACGAAAAATTATTTATAGAAAAGGCTTTCGCGGAATATTTTTCACGCCTTCTCATTAATATCTAATCGGCTCCTGGTCTTGTGTATTCACACGATACTGATCATTGTTCAAGTTGTCGTTGACTGCGAGCAGTAAAAAAATGAGAGACTGCTCGTAGTCTATGTTTGTCGTGTTTGCTGCGGGAGCAAGAACAGTAAAAATGTTTCATTTCGCTCGATTATGAAGTAACTCAGTTCGGGCCATGCTGAGAAGTCCCGTACTTGTGATTGGTCACGTATTGACAGTGACATTATCGGATTAGTTGAGAAAATGGTGGGCAGATCACAAAAACACCGGCTCTTATAGCAGGCGCTCCCTTAGGCTCGATTACCAGCCGCTGTTCGGGAAAATGAGCCCGCACTCATCCCACTCGGGAGACGAAGGAAATCGAGCCTAGCGCTCCCTTCCCTTTCCCCTCTTTCGTGCTTTTCTTCCTCCCCTTTTTGCGCCTGCCACGCAGGCTATGTATGGGAAAAAACCTATCGTTTCCGTAACCTACGAAAATGAAAGGATTTCAATAAAAAACAGCTTACCTTACTTAAAATGTGTGTTACGTCTCTCCTGTGTGGTCCACGGGCCGAGTTATGGCCGTTTTATGGGTTTTTATGTAAACGGTTTTCTCTTTACCTTGATATGGAGAGAAAACCGTTTACACAAAAACCCATAAATCGGCCCGTGGACCACACAGGAGAGAATTAACACACATTTTAAGTAAGGTAAGCTGCTTTTTACTGAAATCCTTTCATTATCGTAGGTTACGGAAACGATAGGTTTTTTTCCCATACAAATCCTTATATTTTGAATCTTACGCAACAATGCCGATGCTCGCCGATGCTCATATTTCGAGCTTGGACTACCTGTGTGCACTCTCAGTAACTGGCTCGTCGCATTTTACAATATCGGAGGTTTCCAACAGACTTAATTTAAGATTTGGAATTACTTTTAAGCGTCGAATAGAAATGATTAGAGAAAGTCGAGGCTGTGTTGCGGAACGTTGCGGTGATAATAAATTATATGCAAATTGCAAAAAAGTCGGTTTATTTTGATCAGCATAAGAATTCTTTTTCCATGTTGTTATTAACTAAATTTGGCTCCTTTTACAAGGTTTCCTCGATGACTGCCTAAATGTTTCAACCAACTTTCGTTTCATCGTCATTTTGACACGATATTGTTGTTTTTTAAAAATTTTCCGTTGTCCCATGCGCGTCCGTGTAGGCTGCTGCGTCACAAACTCGAAAAAGTTCTCGCCTTTATCTCATTAAGATTCCCTTTGAAATCGAAAACGTACACATACAACAACTTCCTTGAAAGTTGTTTTGTCTCCTTTGGCTGTGAGTAAGGAACGCTCATTCAGTACGCAATGAAATTTTCACCGGCAATTAGCAAACCGCCTTGCACCGGTTTACATTTTTTGGCCGTGTCGTTAATGTTGTGTGGTGTGGCTTGGGTTCATATTTCTGCTATGGATGATTCTTTGATTGGACAACACCAGGAGGTAGATAGCAGCTCTAGTCCCCGAGAATCGGATGATAAACACTCTGTCCTACATCGCGAGCGAAGAGCCGTAAAAAAGAATGCAACCCCCAAGCAAGACTTTGAAAAACGACTGAAGGTCATGGAAGAAAGGCGAGTCACAAAACGCGTACCTTTGTTGTTCCGATAGCTATCAAGCCGAAAAATCAGTAGCATGAAATTTACTTCCTGATCTTTTGATTGAATAACTGATTAGCACTTTAACCTAAACAAAAATTTTAACCAAAATCACATGTTTTACGGCGCTATATATTGTTTCTTTTTTTCGCGGTGGAGCGGTTTTTCGCGAACTGAAGAAAAACCCTGTGTTACAAGGAAGCGAAAATCTTCGCGCCTTTCCCTTTGGGGCATCCACTTTCTGTTATAATATTTTATCATGTATGTCTGTACTATTCATATAATGTGTATTGCCCAACAAAGTACATTAAACATGCGGGACTCTAACCCGCTTTAAGGTACGCTGTTCCTTCCAGGCGTTAAGACAGTGGAGACAGCGTAAAGAGGAGTCAGCAGGAAAAACAGACTTCGCACCGCACTCCACAATCTGAACGCCTAGAACAGGCTAGCTTTGAGGGGTTATATTTAGCGAGAACTTTTGTTCAATGGTCTCTTATCGTATTGGAAACAACAAAGGATATTGAGTTTATTGGGCGTGTTTTTGTAGATTTTGGTTTTGATTTTGCTTTTAAACGCTCATTTAGCGCAAAGTTTCGTGGGTTTCTTGTTGTTGCGGAGAGTCACTCATTTTCAAACACCCTCACCGAAAATCTTTTCTCCTCTTTTGCAGACATAATGAGAGTACAAGGCGATTGCAGGAAATAGAGAAGAGGTTTAATATACGGGTTTTGTCAGTTCATTATGTGCATTTCTTTTTTATAACGTTCTAAAAAAAGCTTTAATTTCATACGTTTACCCTTTATCCTTTGGAGAGACTACATTTCTTATGAAGATTGATCATGAAAACAGTCTCGCTGATATAGCAAGCATTTTAGTGGCATTAAGAGCTGATTTAGTGAAGGTTGTTTCGGGCATTAGGAATTGCGCGCTGGAAAGCAATTGTTTAGTAGTTACCCAAGAACGAAATCATTGCCGGCCGTGAGTTCCGTATGTACAAATGCCCAATTTTCAGCAACCTTTATTGAATTAGATATATACATTTTTCTAATGTATCCCACTGCAGGCTTAACATAACCTGAAGCCTCAGCTAAAATTTGACTTTCGTTATTTCCTTGATCTTTCCCAGACTTGATGCCCTTCTGCGCATACCGCCTCCTCGATCTGGAGACTTATACGCTTCTCTTATGGGTTACATTTTAGGTTGGTGTATTGTGGTGATTAATGATGATTGTAATGTCCAATCACTGCAGGCGAAGGAAATTTCTAAAGCAATCCAGCAAACTAAATGGGTAGCGAATGCTTAAAGGAGCTGTGCTAGGAAATTCAGCCTAAAAGACCTGGCCCTCAAAATTGAGCGAGCATTAAAACAGTGAAAACATTGACGAAACGTTCGCTAAAAGAGGATTGCAAGGGCAAATTGCCGAAAAAGAGGAAACGGGTTGCAATAAGAGCGGTTTTTGAGATCTGTTCATCCTGACCTTTTTCAGTCAAAGCTGTTGATGTTTGTCGTTTGTAATAATAATAATAATAATATAGATTCTTATATAGCGCATTTCTATCCTCAATGCGCTTTACATTGTGAAAGCCGATTAAAAATCAATACAAACTAGCCTATGTGCCATTATACATCAAGTATTGTAAAACTTAAAAAATCTTAATTGTAAAACATTAAAAATCGTAAAATGTTAAGCATGAAAATTAATTGTGACATTATACATCAAGATTGGAAAACTTTAAAAAAACCCTAAAATGTTATGTTTATAAAAACTTTAAAAAAAAAAAAAAAAACAAAAATCCTAAAATGTAAGACAAGAAAATCAATAATCAAGTATTTCAATTGAAACATTTCCTGAAGAGAAATGTTTTAAGTTTTGTTTTAAATGTTGTAACACTGTCCGCATTTTTGATATATTCTTGGGTAGTGTTCCATAACTGAAGTGCTGCAGTGGAAAACGCGCGTCCTCCATATGTTTTGGATTTTATGGCTGGGGTGAATAATAGCGAACGGGATGACAATCGTAGAGCTTTGAATGTAACCCTTGGAAAGCATATTTGTCACGACGGAAATGACTTATTTTAGCGATGTTTGACTCGACCATGGTGCAAAAATTGCGACAAACATGTCTGCGACTGCCTCCTATCCAGAGGACCATCTCTCTTGATGAAAATTTGCGCGCAAAGGAAGGCGGGAAGGAGAAAACCGCCAAGACGTCGCTTCTCCTCCTCTTTCACCTTCCCATGGTCCCTTATGGTTCGTTACCAGTCACTCGCGTTTCGCCCGCACCTATGTGCGAAAAACGAGGCGCCTAAGAAGGAGGCAGTGTCTGCGACATGATTCTGGGAAACTGCCCACCAACCCCTACCATGTAATCCTTTTTTTTTACTCTCTACTCTAGGACAGCGTGGTCAAAATACAGACAAGGGGAAAGTTGGACCACCTGGCCCTCCTGGATCACCTGGACCATCAGGCCCCAAAGGCACACAATGAAATATTCTACCTTAAAGTTAAAATACAATGACCTAATAATCGCCCACTTCCAAATAAAGGCATCTTATCTAATATTACATACCGTAAGATGCGTTCATTTGGAAGTGGGCGATTATAAGGTCATTTACGGTATTTTAACTTTAAGGTAGAATGTTTCAATGTTTGATTAACAAGGCTTTGCTTATTTCATCTTGTTCAATGTCAGTTTCAAAGTAAGGATAGACTAATGATGGCAACACAACAACCCTAAGCGAGGATTTTGACATCGATGTTGGGAGATGAAATAGCGATATGGATCTCTAGACCGCCTAGACATATCAATTGATGGAGTGGATATTGCGCTATTTTTTTAACTCTCTTGATATTTTTGCCAAAAGCATGTTAGTTTTGTTGAGCTTATTACAGTTATGAAAATAAACGCCTTTCTCTTTTTTAACGCCTCCTACCTATTAAACGCCCCCGCCTGGTCCCCTGAAAATAAATAGAGGCCCCGGACGTCTATTAGGTCATTTATAGTAACTAAATTAAATTTTTGACGAATCGCAATACTACACCCCCTTCCCTTAAATAATAATAAAAAGGAAAATCAAAGGCATAAATGTGTGCGAAGAACACGTTACTCTGCATACGATGAAAACGAGATCGCAAAGACAGCAAACCAAAATTGCAAATGATACCGTTTAAGAACCCTAAACTTCAGCATTTTTTCTTTATAGGGGAACAAGGGAAACCTGGCACCAACAAGCCATTTCCAGGCCCTCCAGGTCCTAAGGGGGATCAAGGACCTGTTGGAAAGACTGGAGCCAAAGGACCTCAAGGAGCTAAAGGGCAAAGGGGACAGGATGGGTCTGGCAGTTCAGGGGTGAAGTATGTGCGCTGGGGAAGGACCACATGTCCTAGCGGGGCACAGATAGTCTATAAAGGTAAAGAGACAAAAAAAAAAAGACGTACTGTAAACAAGTTCCTGTTCCCTGATAATTCAAGTATCTGGTAATAGATCAATTTTTGATGCTGATACCTAAGCTGCAGATAAGCGCACTGTGACATTATTATTGGATGAGGTTTTTATGATATCCGGAATCAGTAATCAAGGTCGAGGTACTACGGTTCTGAAAGGCAATCTGGACAACAAAACTCTAAGGCTATAAGAAATTGCAAGCAAACAAAATACGGAACAAGCGACTAATAGAATAGAAAATGTGGATTGAAAATGTCTTACATACCTAATTGGTGAACTTTAACGCCATGGAAATGCGCGCATGCAGTTGAACTGTAATATACAAACTAGCTACTAGCGTAAGTCGCTTATAATAAAGCAAATTAGGATAACAAGCTTACAATGTGGCTTTAATGAGTTTTTGTGATTATTCTCCGTTTGCTTCATACAGGTATAATGGGTGGAGAGCATTTCGGTCACCGTGGAGGCGGTACAAACTACCTTTGCCTTCCACATAAGCCAAAGTATGACAGATACAGAGATGGCGTCCAGACTGGGGGATATATGTACGGCACTGAATATGAAGTAAGTGCGGTCGTTGGCACTGTTTTCAAAAGAAATATCCATGACCATGATGCTGTCTGTGTTGTCTGCTTTGTTAAGTCACGTGGCTCAATGCTAATGATGCCCGCCAGGAATGACTGTCCGTCTGGATGGACCGAAGAGTATCATGGGTACCTGATGACTGAACACTACAGGCATAATCACTCAAAAGATTTCATCTGCCTTGACGGGGATCCAGAATATGTTCCTGGTAGCCAAGCAGACAGAAATGGTGCTTTGCTGTGGCCTGTGGAGGGTAGATGCGGCTCGCTACCGTGTCTTCCTTATGTTGAGGGTCGAGAGTTGACATGCGCCGTGTGCACTAAGTGAAGCCCCTCGTGAAATAAAAGTAATAAACAGTAATTTCATAAACTCTCATTCTCAGTTCTTTACAGTAATATAAAAATAAAAAACGACACCTGCTTGTTTAAAAACAGTTAAAGTAGTAAGCAAGGTGCAGTGGGCAAAGCATAAGGTAATGTTAATAATAAACCACGTGATTGCCTCCAGATGAATGCTTGTTGCTTTCTTCGTGTGCAAGTCTTATCATTAATTTTAAAAGGGCATGGCCAATGTGGATAAGAGTTAATTTCTGTGCCTAAAAGAACACCTTTATGATTCAGCACTAAATCCTGTATTGTTTTAAATGCCTGTTTAAAAATTCTCGTACCCTCGAAATTCCTGAAAAATTCGACAACTTATTGTAACTTTTTTTTGCCGTTCAAACATTGCAAGTTTATCTCCGATTTTTCAAACTTGTAGGTAATTAGAACCGATTTGGTTAGAAAAATCGGGATTTCACTGAATACCGGTAAGTGTTCTGTTAGCCTGAATTTCAGCCGTGAGCCGTCCCCTCGAGTCGCACACTCCCGTACGAGAGAGATGACATCTTCCTTGGGAGTGGGCGACTCGAGTACGGCTGATATTCAGATCGGGCTAGTGTTCTGATTTTTGTGCTTTATTTGGAAGGGTACTGACCTAAAATGATCCAACATAGCATTGTTGGGACTCGTTTGAGCACTTTTTTGGGTGTGTGGCACCTTTTTCTCAGATCAGGTTTGACCGTGTTCAAACTTTTTATTCAGTTTTATCTAACATGTTCCCTGTGCTACAGATCACGACGCCGGCACATATTACCCACATCTGAAAAAAAAAAGCGCAGGTTTGAAGCATGAGTTGTTTCGGCGGTGACCTTCTTGCCCGAGAGTAAGATCTCCTGGCTTCTGAAAGCTTCTGAAAGAGTAATGGTACAAGCACACTCCAATTGCATAGACATAAAAAATCATATAGACCCTTTTCTTCTAGAGAAAAAAAGTTCGAAGACCAAAAATAATTCTTTTGAAAGCTTGTAATAACAGCTTGTGCCAGGAGCGATGGGTGATGGGCTCCTACTTATGAACGATCTTGGGGTTGCGAAGACTGGCGTTATTCCTGCCCTTGGCTGACCTATATGTCAATTATCCTGTCGACTGACTGCCGATTTTCCGTTTCGTCTGACGAAGGACCGTACGGCTTCTCCATCTCCCTAACTTCGTACCCAGATCTCCCACGGCCAGGGGCAAGTTCAAGAAAGAGTACGGTGGCCAATCAGATGTCCAGATCCGGCAATCATAAAACTGCCGAAAACGACGCTATAGTGACATTACTGCTATATTAAAGAGCACCCAATGCATTGATGCTTACGAAGCTATTCAGCTTACTGTTATTGTACTTTTCTCCATCTTGTTTCGGAGAAACATCTTCAGGTCCTCAATACGTTTGGAGCGCGCAGAAACATGAGCAAGGATGAAGCTTAGAGGTCAAATTTTCTCGGGCGCGCGAAGCGCAAGCGGGACAGTGGGACCGGAAATGAGACGGAAGGACTTTAACAAACGGCCTATCCGAGCTAGCGAAAAAGCTGTTTATTTAGACAAATTTTCTGTCATCACCAACGCTAAACAAATGAGGACGGTTTGTCGCGATTTTACAAATTTTGTCCCAGAGGGGACAATCTTCAAAGGCGCTGTGGACAACATTTGTCCTGGGTAAAAAACTGGCCAAAATCCACCAAATAAACAAAAATCTGTTTTTCTTGTCAATCATTTGTTGTAAAGCCATTATTCCTCCATTAACAAATGCGAATGTTGTCAGCTGTAACGGCCTAGTTTCAAGTGAGGATAAATGTTTTCCACACAGAAATTGGGACGATACAATTTTTGGTTTCAAAGACAATTCCGATTTTGTCTGCCAAGAAGTTAGGCCCAAAGTCTAAATGTAGCTGTAAATAAACAACAATATTACCTCTTGTAAATCCCAAGAGAAATTGGAAACAATGCTAATGCAAAACTTTTGGGGGTAAGCAAGGTGTATTATGGAAATGTGAAAGTAGCGAATAAAGTAGAAAAGGGTTACATCAAAACGAGGTCAACTGCAGCCTCGTTTCATGTCGGTAACGCGTAACAGACAAACCTGAGGCTGACTCACTATTTCAATATGCAGCATCCAGAATCCCCTAATCCTTTACGCCTCAAAAGTCGTCTGAAAACATTTTACTTTGTCTTGTTTTTCAACCCACTTCTCGATCGATGTCCCACAAAATCTCGTCCGTGTTTGAACATTCTAAGCCCGCGAAAACAACCGTTTTCTCTCGCTCCTCGCTGCCGGGGATGTTTCGCGAGGAGAAACGTCTGTTGTGTTCTTGACTCGTTTTCATGTGAATGTTGCCCGTAGCAACGGCAATCCAACGTGGCGCGCCAAAAATTAACGCATGTGTACCATGCGTTCGCGTCTTATTAAGACGCGAAGGTCATTTATACGAAGTTTTTCTTGTCTTAGCTAAGACGCGTCTTATCTAAGAGCAGGTGTTAAGGGCTGTTCTAAAATAGCACGCGTCTTAGCTAAGCCGCGTCTTATTTTAGACGAAATGTGCCGTTTATACGGAAAGTTCGCGTCTTATTGAAGACGCGTCTTATTTTTCCTCGTATAAATGGCCCTATTATGTCCAGCTTTTAAATCATTAATGACTAAGAATTTAAATCTGCCCTAAGCAAGATCAGATCATATAGACTTCCTCACATGCTCCTTCCCTGAAATTAACGTGTTACATGTATTTAAATGAAGGAAGTGAAGTTCAAAATAATGTAGATGTCCGTCCACACTTATTTTTTGTTAATTATTTAACCAAAACGGTTATCCCGTCATGCGTCCATACGGGCAAACAGAAAGACTTTTATTGGTTAATGAATAAATAACAGCTGAAATAACACACTGTAAAAGGACAAAAGGGAGGAAATAAATAAGTAATGAATTAAATACGTAAATTTTTTAACAAGTAGGTCCAGAAACCGAATTTCAACCATTGCCGTTATCTTCAAAGGCCAGGCAATCAAAGCAATGACAGAAATGACAGTTACGAAATAGTTAAAATCATAAGGTCAGATCTCACTACAGATTAACAGCATTTTTTAGAAAAGCACGCAAAGGCTGTTAACTAATTTATTCTGAAACTTGCAGAAACGTCTCCTTACTAACGAAATCCACAGCCATGTTGCTGCAAAGACAGGCTTGAAGGTATCTTTAAGTACTGTGAGGTGAGGATGACTCAGCAGTAGTACAAAAAAATCACGATTTGACAAAAACTGCAGTTATGCAGTTGTCAGAGTAACATGAGTTATTTCTGCCTTGGACCACAACCTCATTGGCATTCCCCAAAAATGAACCCCACTAGAAACATACACGTATGATCCAGATTTGTGCTGGTAAAGCCCCGCAAAGAATGGTTCGGCAACAAGATGAAACAGATGTATTGGAAATAACTGTCCTCCGTGTGTGTGACCAGTTAAAACAAGATCAACATGATAATCATCCAAAGCCAGTTTTGCAACTTTTGGTCTGTGAGCAAGTAAAACTGTTGGGGTACCATGATTCACTCCTGTCAGTGCCTTGCCTATGTCGGTGCCGTGATCCCCAGATCTAAAGTAATGAAAAGTGCAATCATTTCATTTTTCAA